CAGAGAAAGTAACTGTAAATACAGAACCTTCCCTGGGAGGTCCCCTCACCACGTACAGGAATCCACGTCGAGGGGCAGATCATCAGCAACACTCTCCAAGGACAGTAAGTATGTATTGTGTGTCCTAGATTGTCAGTGCTATGGAAAATTTAATTTAAATGTTAGATTAATAGGTATGATGCTTGTGGCTGAGTTGTGTGTGCACAAATATGATTTCGGAGAGAAAAAAACAAAACAGTTAATTATGATTTTTATATTTTTCAGTTGGCATAAAGGGGGGGTGATGGCTAGAAGGAGTTGTAGAACAAAATTGTACAAGGAAGGCAGAAAAAGATAAAGAAAACAAAGACGAGAAGGCTCACTTCTGAATCATCTTCACCTACAATGTCCAGACGTAGACCACTCAGTTGATGAATTAGACATTGTTAATGAGAAAAGGTTTTTAGCACAATCTCACAAAATAAAGTTGAATATTTTCTGAATATAGAAAGCGAAATAAAAAGCGATGCTAGTCGGGATCAAGATTAGAAAGTTGCATGAAAATAAAAATACCACCAATTTGGACTACGGTGACCCTGCTACTTGGCCCAAATGTGACGAGCATGTGATGGAACATGGACCAGAACAATTTCAGCAATACTATTTTCCAAAAGACCATCAACAAAGAAGATTCACATCAAATCATTACTGTAGAAGACCTGTCAATAGAGAACAAATACATCATCAGTGACTACAGTATTCCAACTCAAAGGACTTTGTATTCTGCTTCTGTTGTAAATTGTTTACTGGTAACTGCATGACTGGTTCGTTTCTTGTTGGTCAAGGTTGCAATGATTGGAAAAACATATCTGCAATTCTGGCATCACATGAAAGAAGCAATGAATATTTAGACAATTTTCAAAATTGGAGAGAACTTGAACTATGATTGAAAAACAAGAAAATAACTGATGAAACAAATATGTACCATATCAAACAACAAGAAATTTATTGGCAACAAATCTTAGAGTGACTGATTGATTTAGTGAGAGTTCTGGTTATGCAAAATCTGCCTTTTACTGGATCATATGACAAGTTGCACACCTCTGGCAATGGAAACTTTCTGAAGTTGGTAGAATGTCTTGCTTTGTTTGAACCATGTTCGTAAGATACAAGACAATGAGACATGTGTACACTACCTTAGGAAAGAGATACAAAATGAATTGGTTCAGGTCTTAGCCAATGCCATAAAAAAGAAATCAAACTGCCAAGTACCATTCAATAGTTTTAAATTGTACACCTGATGTAAGTCACGTTGAACAAATAATCATGATTCTTCGATTTGTAGACATACCTTTATACACTGATAGCTGTGAGCCAGAGCCTCACATTAAAGAAAATCTTTGGGGATTTGTGCCAATAAAGGACACAATGGGCACTGGTATAATGTACAAGATCCTTCATCAGTTACAGGAGATGCCATTACTTATCGAACACTTGCATTGTCAAGGCTATGATAAAGAAAGCAACATGAAAGGAAAAGAATTTCAGATGTTAATGATGTTGCCAAGAGTTGCTTGGAGGCAACAGCATTCTTTGACCTGGTAGGTACAATGTGTTTATGTGTACTTTTCAGCTTCAACATGCTGTTGGGAGATTCTAAAACGTCATGTATTAAATATTACAGTGAAACCATTAAGTGATACACAATGGGAAAGCCAAATTAATGCAGTGAAACCTCTTTTCTACTAGCTAAGC